CTTATACTGTTGTTAATTTTTGGCCTTCCCATCAGTGCTGTCCCATAGCTCCCATGGTCCATCACCACAGTCCCCTGTGCGCTTCCCTTCCGCTTTGACCCCTCCCCCACATTCTGCCATGTGCCTCAAATCTGTGGTCAGCTTGCAAGTTTTGTCTTTTACCTGATCCTCTGTTCAGTTTCTCTCTATCCTGCATATAAGTGAACCCACCCTACAGAAATCTGTTTCCTTCTGTTTTCACTTGGCATAATCTGTTCAAGCTCCCTCCATGTTGCCACAAATGGCATGAGTTTATCTTTTTGACTGCTGAGTAGTATTCCATTGTGTGTCTGTTTTACCTAAGTTGTTGGATGCACATGCGTAGAATATTTGGTGCTATTCCTTTATTATTGTTTCAGTGTCTGTGAGCTCTATAATGGCTTCTTTGCTATTCCTGATTCTGATAGTGGTCCTATATCTCCCTTTTTAAAAATGCTTCAGTCGTGCAAAGAGTTCATTGATATTTTCAAAGAACTAGCTCTTGATTTTATTACATTTATTTATTTTTCTTCTGATTTTCATTTCATTGGTCTCTCTCTCTCTCTCTCTCTCTTTTTCTCTCTCCCCCCCCCCTTTTTTTAATCTTGCCTTCTATTGACTTTGGGTTTATTTTGCTCTTCATTTTCTGATCTCATGAAGTGAATGCTAATATTGTTGATTTGAGACCTTTCTTCTTTTGCGACATAAGCACTTAGTGCTATAAGTTCCTCTCTAAACACTGCATTAACTGTGTCCCATTAACTCTTGAATGTGTTTTCATTTTCATTCAGCTCGATTTATTTTTTATTTGCCCTGAGCCTTCTTTGACCCATCAGGTGTCAAGAGTACATTGTTGAATTCCAAGTGCCTGGAGATTTTCTTTCTTTCTTTCATTTTATTTTATTTTATAACAGTTTATTTTCACATCATTTTGTACATTTTTTTTTCTTTTTTCCATCTCAATTGTAACCCCCACGGGTTTCCCATCACCAAGACGCTCCTGTGCCATCACCATAATCTAAGTGCCTGGAGATTTTCTTATTACCCTTCTGTTACTGATTTGTAGTTTGATTCTACTGTGGTCAGAGAATATTTTCCAAATCATTTTAATTTTTTAAATTTGTTGCCATTAGTTTTGTACCCCAGAATGTGGCCTATCTGCTAAATATTCTTTGTGTCCTTGAAATGAATGTATACCCTATAGCTGTTGTGTGGAATGTTCTGAAAATGTCAGTGAGATTCTCCCAGTTGATGGTATTGTTTAGTATACAAAAAATCCTTGCTGTTTTTTTGTCTACTCATTCTGAGAGGGGCCGTGAACTACCCATTATAACTTGCATTTTTCTATTTCTCCTTTCTGTTCAGATGGTGTTTTGTTGATGTATTTTCAAGTTCTGCGCTTTGGTACATACACATTTAGAGATTTATTTATGTATTTATGCATACAAGAGTTGGGGTATAGGTTAGAAGTGTATGTGTGTGTGTGTAAGAGAGAGAGAGAGAGAGAGAGAGAGAGAGAGAGAGGATTCACCAAAGACAGAGTGGGGAGCAAAACAGGCAGATTGACTGAAATATATTGCAGGAGGTACAGCAGGCGAGACAGGAGAGGTCTGCAGCGTCCTGCGGGCCACCTCCCTGGCCAGATGAACTCACGCTGCACTGTGCTGAGCCTTAACCTCTGTGCCACCATAGAGGCCCTTGCATGCACATTTAGGGTTGTTTGGGGGTAGGTTTCCTGCTGGCCTCAAAGTGTTTGCATCCTTGCATATGCACATTTTGCTTGCCTTTTCCATAATCTCAAAATTCCTATCTGTTTGTCAGAGGCATAATCCAAGTGCCAGGATTGAGGCGGTCACCCTGTTGCAGGGAAGGGAATCTCTGTGGTCAGAGAATGTTTTATTCTGGGCACTGCCAGCGGCTGGGCAGCAGGTGTGACTGTTTTGGGAATAGTAGATGAGTATTTAGAACTGCACCAAACACACAGAGCTGCAGCATTTAAAGTGAAAGAAACTGAGAATTCCCTCTATTGTACCAGCCAAGCTTTAAGCACTTAACTACCATGTGACAGTCAGTGGGTTTATCTGCATTTTCACTTTCTGTGGCTTTAGTCACCCATGAGCAACCATAGTAGGTAGGAATTTTTAGTACAGTAAAAATTTGAGAGACCACAGCACATAGCTCTTATAGTGGCATGTGGTTACAGCTGTTCTATTATTAGTTGTTGTTCATCACTTACTGTGCCTAATTTTTATACATGAAACTTCATCATCATCATTGTGGATGTCTAGGAAAAGCAGAGAGCACCTGGGGTCAGTAGTATCGTGATTTCAGGCATCCATGGGGATCTTCACGCATCCCCCCACAGATAAGAGGGGACTGCTACCCTGGGAGTTACAGACACAGAACATTTCCATCCCTGCAGAAAGTGCCAGCGAAGAGCACTGATTAGACAGTATAAGTTCAGATCTATCCTGTGACCCCAAAATCCTACTCATGCACACATATCTTACTTAGGGCCCCCAAAGCATGTCATGAACTGAGGGCCCTGGTGGCCTGTTAGGGAGATGTCCCCAAGAAATGCAGATGAGTGGAGAAATGCAAATGGGAAGGAAAAGACTCAAGAAAGTTTGCAGAGTGTGGGCTAGAGTGAGTTGGGTGAGGGACCCGGGCACCTACCCAAACCTGAACACAAGCACCCCTGAGTTTTTGCACCCTGAGTGTCTTGCAGTTCTGTACCTGCTCCCACCCCACCTGCCTGGAGAGTTGCTGCCGCAAGCGGCTGGCACTCACTGGGATGGGGCCCTTGAAAAACTCTAGGCGCCACCTAGAATGCACCTCAGACTGACCCACTGGGGAAAGGAGAGCAGGTGTATTGTTCGCTGGCTCCTGACCTTCCTTGGCAGAGAATTGCCCTGCAGGAATTAATCCCAGTGCTTCGGGCCTGTTTTGCAGGGAGAAAGACCTTAGGAAGAGAAGCAGAAAGACACAGACATGGCGGGGGAGGGAAGCCGCTGGTGGTGCAGCCCGGGTAGAGCCCAGACGGCCTCCCACAGGGGCACTGCCAGCCTCTGGTGGTGGGGGCCCTTCAGGAACTGCGAAGTGAAAATGCCGTGCACACCAGGATGACCATGCAGCAGGTAAAAACAGGAGCTGGACGTCCACCACTATGGGGAGATTTGGGAACAGCGTTAAGTTTTAACAAGCAGAAGAAATAGAGTTAGCTGTATAGCAAGGCCACTTTTGTACGCTGCAGCACGTGCGACACAGAATCACAAACTGCGAAGATCCGAAGATCCGTCTTTGCAGTGCCTGAAGGTGCCCGCGCCCCCCCCCCTCCCCAGGGAAGGGGTGTGGGGCTCGGCTTGGGGCACTTCAGGATCTGCAGAATGTGACTGACCGTTTCCTGCACCTTCCGGCCAAGAAAGCGCTCTCCTGTCTCGGTGGCTGTGTGGGTGCCTCTTTTTCTTCCTCTTTTTTCTAATCGACCTGCCTTTTTAAAGTGTAATATGAATAAAGTCCATGAAAACAGGACGCCTCCACCAGCCACCCTTGTCATTGCTGCAGGGGCCAGGCTCCGCCTCCTTCTGGAAGCCCCCCACTGCCATCCTGGTGGCCCCCAGAGGGGTCTTTGCTTTGACTGTGTGTAGAGTGTGCAGTGAGTGCCCGGGAATCTGCTCAAGCCTGGCTCTGCCATTAGCTAGCTGCCGGGCCTCGGCCTCAGCAACTTGCCTTCCTGGGCCTCAGATTCCTCAGCGTAAAATGCAGTTCATGAGGCCCTCCCTGGCGCAGCCCAGCACTGAGAAGCTAAAGCCACTTGAGCGTGAGTTCAATCCCTGCTCCGGAGGTGACCACATGGCGCGGCAGAGCTGACCCGCCCGCTGCCCCCCTCAGCAGTGTGCTCCCTCAGTCGGCCTGTTCTGCTCCCCACTCTGTCTCTGGTGTCTCTGCTATCACCAACCCTGCACGTCTGGCGTGTACCCAACTCTTATGCATAAATGAATAAATCTTTTTAAAAAATGTAGTTAATGAGCGTTCGCCCGTCGGCACCCCAAGTTGCCCTCAGACCCCTCAGGAAGCCCCAGATCATCCAAAGCGGGCCCAGTCATTGGCATCCGTCACGCCGACCGGGCAGAAGGTCCCTGGTGGAAACCCAGAGGCGTCGGTGGATCAATGGACAAGCAGAAGGTTCAAACACGGGATCCTGACGCCTCACACCGGCTGTGGGAGCAAGTAGGAAAAGTCCAGGACACGCTGCCCAGCGGCTCCCCGGGCTGTCAGGCCGCTGGCAGTGTGGCTGGTGAGCAGCAGATCGTAGTGTCCGGACGTCAGGCACCATCTCCACCAGGAACCTCCAGGCCACTGCGGAGAGAGCAGCTGCCCCCCCCCCCCAACGCCCGTCCCGGGGCCAAGGCTGCGGGGCCGAGAGATCGAGTCACAGCTCGTGCACGCGCGTCGTGCTCGTGAAACCAGGATCCTGTTCCCAGCAATAAATGAAATGGAGGTCATCAAAAATATAAGTACTCAAGGGAATGTTAGGCATAAGATGAGTTCATGGAATGTGCTTCAACCTACGGGGGACGTTTCCTCTCTGCCAGGCACGCGGCCCTACCCCCTGCCAGACTCCGGCGCCCCTCTGACAGACCTGCAGCCTCTCCCTGCTCCCCCATGGGCCTCAGCCTCACGGAGGGGCTCCTCGAAGCCCCAGGGAATCCTAAGCCAGGCCCAGTGGCTACTCTGCTTCCCTCCCGAGAAATGGAAATTTAGTTTCACTTTCCTTTTCAACACCCCTCTGGACTTACCTGGCTGTGCTCATACCTGTGAGCTCACCTAGTCAGCAGGTGGCTCCGCCCACCTGTCTTGTAAAGCAAAGCGGGGTTTGGGAGTTCCCTCTGCGTTTTCGCTTTACATACATCAGTGGCTCTGAGGCTCACTCATGGTTAAAAGCACGGCCATGCCGTGGGGAAGGCAGATTGCACTTGCCCATGGCTGCTGTCAGGCTCCTCGTGCTGGTGGCGCTGGGCCTGGCTTCCACCAGAGCAGGTCCTGTCCCCACTTCCAAGCCCATCACTACCAAAAGGAGCTGTGACATTGGCAGATTCAAATCTCTGTCTCCGAGGGAGCTGGCGGCCTTCAAGGTAGCCAAGGATGCTCTGGTGAGTCCCAGTTGCGGGCAGCCCCTTCCCTCCTGCGGTGGCCAAGTGCCCTGCGCTGGGTTGACCTGCCCTTGCTCTGCAGGAGGAGTGGCTCCTGCCCAAGGACCGCAGCTGCAGCTCCCGCCTCTTCCCCAGGACCCGGGACCTGAGGCAGCTGCAGGTGAGCTGGCTCCCGGGTGCCCCTGCCCTCCCTCCCTCCCTGCC